ACCCTTCTTCAGAATTTCTGAAGAAGGGTCTAGGCCTGAAACGTCAGGTTTCCTGCTCCTCTGATGCTGCCTGGCCTGCTGTGTTCCTCCAGCTCCACACTGTGTTGTCACTGGTCAACAGGAACATCCTTTCTGCACTTAACTTATCTAGTCCTGTTGGAATTTTATAGGTTTCCATGGGATCCCACCAAATCTTCTAAGAGGCAAGCCTTGTCCCCAGCTGGTTATAGTCCAACGGATTTATTTTTAAGTAAACCTGTTAGACTATAACCCGGTGTCGTGTGACCTCTGGCTTTGTCCCTGCAATCCGACACTAACATCTCCACATCTTGTCCCCAGCTGACAATGCTCACTTACCTTAGGTCCTAATGGTCCTGGAGGGCCCCGCTCTCCCTGCAAAAAGTAAAAAGCATGATCATGACACGTCTATTTTGCCAATTAATTAAGAACCTGCAAGGCCCATTAGAAGGACAGGCAGACATTCCAGTCCTATTCCTTCATCTGCTTCGATACAAATGGTCAGTGTCTGCCTTGCTGTAATGATGGGAACCATGGCTTTGTAGTCAACCATTGCCAAAGGCACAGCAAATGGTGCAGCAGCAATAACAACAACTACTTACATTTATGTGGCACCCTTAATGTCATAAAAGGTGCTGAGACGCCTCAGAGGAGTGACATTAGCAAAACAACTGAAGGAGATATTGACCTGGAAAGTACGAGGCCCATCAGCTGTGTTTTTGCTTGGGGAAATTGGAAAGGGTGACCCGTCCACCACATTTCCGCTCACCTCCGAGCTGAGGCCTGTAATATGCAAGGTGGGCAGCTGCTGAAATTGGCACCCTGCTATTACACACAATATAAATAGCCAAGGGTCAATTCACAGAAATTGCTGGGAAAAGTCAGCAGGTCTGGCATCATCTGTGGAGAGAAGTCAGAGTTAACGTTCTCAACACAACAACAAAAACAAAGTTGCTGGAAAAGCTCAGCAGGTCTGGCAGCATCTGTGAAGGAGAAAACAGAGTTAATGTTTCGGGTCCGGTGACGCTTCCTCAGAGCTGTTAACGTGTTAGGCTGCTTGGGGTCATGTAGCCTTCTAGAGTCAATATCAAGATCTACAACTTTGGGGCTCGAACTCTCCTACATCCTTACCCCAAGCCCCACACACCATGCCTTGTTATCACATAAAAACCGAAAGACCTGCAGATGCTGCAAGGAAGAGTCACCAGTCCCGAAACATTAACTCTGATTTCTCTTCACAGATGCTGCCAAACCTGTTGAGCTTTTCTATCAATTTCTGTTTTTGCTTAGAATCACGTAATCTGCTATTACACAACCCACTGTTAGCCACTAACAGTCCCCATTAGTAACTATTCACCCTCCTAGCCAGAATGTTATTCACTCCTTTGTCTGTCCAGCTGTTCTTTCTCTTTGGGCTCTATCCCCACCTGTTATTTTCTACATTTCCCCTACCCCCACTCAATCTTCTGCATATAAACCGATATTTTCCTAGCTACCATCAGTTCTGAGGAAGGGGCACTCAATTCAAAATGTTAACTCCGATTTCTTTTTTTCTTCGCAGATGCTGCCAGACCCGCTGGGCTTTTCCAGCAACTTCTGCTTTTGTTTCTGATTTACAGCATCCGCAGTCCTTTCGGTTTTTATCAAGGGTCGATTGAGCTGGTTAATAAGCCCAAAAGCGTAAAAGCTTTGAAGATTATGCTTCCCTTGCCAAGATGTGGTCAGTATGGGCAGCTAGGTGGGGAATGGTGTTGTTGGCTTCAAAGGGGCTTAAAATTGTGTGAAGTGTGGGAGCACGCTGGAGGATCCTTTGTGCCCAATGGTGGTAACCTCCATCCTACCCCACCCTTAGAAGTTAGATCCTCAGTTTCTTCTCATCCATTCTGTAAAACCCATTCCCCCTTGCTGAATTTCCAAGAAACAACAGCGCCCCCCACCCCCGCACCTGTCCCCTCCACAAACTCAAAGTTCTTCCAAATAGGTTCTAGACTCCATGGGACTCCCTACACGGACCTGCCTGTAGTTCCATCTGTGTCCACTGCTGAGCCCTGGCGCTGTCAGGTCTGTTGGAGGATGGAGGTTTAGTATGGAGAGCAGGCCCCACCAGGGGCTCATGGTTGCAGGTTGGAGCTCCAAACCGAGCATGTTTCTTCCAGGGGAAAACCAAGTGATTCCAGGGGAATCACTTTGACATTAAACTATGGAGACTTTCCATCCCATTTGTCAGAGCTAGATTGCACCCATGTCCCAAGGATACAGGCTCGATTTCAAACCCAAGTTTGCCACTTGACCATGGACATTTGATCTAAAGATTTTCTTTTACTTATTCATTCAGGAGATGCGACAAGGCATATTGTCCACTTCTGCAATCCTCTGGTGGGTGACTTTCTTCAACCACTGCAGGCTGTGAGATGCAGCAGCGCGCACAGTGCTTTAGGGAAGGAGTTCCTGGACGGAACAACAAGGGGAGGAACAGCGATGTAGTTGCAAATCAGGACAGCGTGTGCCTCCGCTGAGGTCCCCGATTCATGGGATGTTCTTGAAGAAGACTTGGCGAGTTGCTGAAGTGAATTTTTACAAATCCGGGCACAGATCCCAGAAGAAGGATTGTAAGATGTGGGAGGAATCACTTACCCTGGATCCTGGCAAACCAGTCTCCCCTGGCTGGCCTCTGTCACCCTGTCCATCAAAACATAAAAATAAGAGGGCCTGTTAATTACCCGCCTCAATCAATAACTCCTTCTCATATTCACTTGTCTCCCTCATTCTTTCCTTGGCAGTCTGAGATGCCTGTAATATATCAGGCTTATATTTTCCAAATAAATAAAACCGTTCTCTCAGGATATTAAGCTGATGAATTGCACCCAAACAACTGACCTATTTAATTGACAACCTTTACCCACTCCCCATTGTTTAATCATCCAAATAAAGGAACCTCCTTTTTCCCACAGTCACCACAATCCTACCAGACCATAGGGCTGCTCTCTGATTACAGACAGAAACACAGAGAGTGGTGGTGATTTAACCTGAGGGTCACCACACCTCAGGCAATGGGCGAGGTTGGGAAGGAGAATCCTTCGTAGTAACCTTAGTTGGTGTGGGAATTGAACCCACGTTGTTAGCATCACTCTACAGACCAGCCAACTCAGCTAATGGCAACCTGACTAAAATGAGGTAAGCAGCTGGGTATCCAACCAAATTGCATGAGAAATGAGAATGAGAAATGCTCGGAGTCTGAACAAGGAAGTGTCACTTCGAATAATTAATCAGGTACAGAGAGCAAAATAAAGACAGAATGAAAAACTGGTTCAAGAGAACGAGAAAGAAGAAAACCAAAGAAAAGAATTTCCACTTTTAAGAATCTCAAACATAATTAAAATATTTTAAACTGAAGGAATGGGACTGTGCATTAGAAGAATTAATTTATTTAAGTTTTTAGGCTTTATTACACTTCAAAGGATACACATACTATAATGGACAAGATAAAAGCTTTTTTTGAGTTTAGATGCTACCTCTTCAGTCACATTATGCTGTTCAGTGCTGAGTCTCTCTGTTAGATACTGAAGGTGTGTAGCTTCAAATGGAGCAGAACATCGCAGACAGAACATTCGGATTTACATGTTAAGGAGTGCGATAGCAGGAGCTACCATTCAATTTCTACATAAATCACAGTTTAGAATAATTGCCTCAACTTCAATTCCACTGGTAAATCAGGTGCTGTTGTAATGGCAAGGACCTTGTGGGGACAGTATCTCTCCATACTCACTATTTGATACCAAATAAAACTCACCCATTCTCAGTAATTTGGTCTTAAACCCCAGCTCCACCCCTCCATACGCAGCATTCTTTCCAATCCCTACTCGCTCGGGACTAACGTCACATTCCAACCGGTATGGTTAAGAAGGAGCGAATCAAGTTTATTACCAGCGGAAAAATTACAAGAAAAGACAACAAGTTTCGATCATAGCGCTGAAACACTTGCCTTGTCACCCTGTTCACCCTGAGATCCTCTGGGACCCTAAAAGAAATGAAAAGATTAATGATAAATCATGGAAGTTTTAAGATGTGTGCCACACTTCAGATGTTGCAAATGCACATTACCATGCTGCATATATTTTCTAATCAATTTAAAATGTAAAAGAATGTTCCTATTTGTTTATTCTGACCTCAAATTGGTTTACTTTCCTCAGAACAGATTGGGTCTGACTGACCTCTTGGAAGTACAGTCATTTGGGTCTTGTGGTCACAAAGCGGGGTGCAGGTTACACCTAGCAACAAATTACTTTGTACTTTTTATGGTTTAATGGCAAACAGTACATCTAACATCTCACACTGAACAATTCCACAGGAGATGAATTGTTCTCATGCCCTTGGACTTGCCTGGCAGGACAAAGAAACTGGACTGGATTTTATGACCACAGATCAGGTGCCTCACACCCCAGCCCTACCACACTGATGTAAATTAGGGCATTGGTTTGGCAGTTCACTGTCAACCCATCAATCTCTGATAATACATGATGATGGGTATAGATAGGGTTAATGGCAGGTGTCTTTTCCCTCGGATGGGGGATTTCAAGACTTGGGGGCACATTTTTAAGGTGAGAGAAGAAAGATTTAAAAAAGGCATGAGGAGCAAATGGTTTTACACAGGGAGTGGTTTTTGTGTGGAGTGAACTTCCAGAGGAAGTGGTAGATGCAGGCACTGTTACAATGTTCAAAAGACATTTGGACAGGTACATGAATAGGAAAGGTTTGGAGGGATACAGGCCAAATGCAGATAAATGGGACTAAAACAGGAATTGCTGTAAAATCTCAGCAGGTCTGCCAGCATCTGTGAAGAGAAATTAAAGTTAACTGAATTCTAAGGAAGGGTCACTGGACCTGAAACGTTAACTCTGATTTCTCTCCACAGATGTTGCCAGACCTGCTAAGCTTTTCCAGCAATTTCTATTTTTGTTTCTGATTTGCAGCATCATTTGCAGTTCTTTTGGTTTTTATTTGGTAAATGGGACTAGTTTAGTTTTGGAAACTTGGTCAGCATGGACATGTTGGACTGAAGGGTCTGTTTCTGTGTTGTTTGACTCTATGAAGCAGGAAGTGAGTTACTCGCTGTAGAATTTCCAGCCTCTTTTCTTGTCCAGTCCAGTTTCTGGCCAACTGACCTCTTCGTGCACTGTAGGGATTCTGTGATTATGGCATAATCTTACCACAGGTTAACTCTCTCTTGCAGCCTTGTGGTTAGGAACATGCCACAGTACAATTACAGAATCCCTACAGTGCACAAAGAGGCCATTTGGCCCCTTGAGTCTGCAGTGCCCCTTCGAACAGCATCCCACCCAAACCCACCACCACCCACACGATCCTTGTAACCCTGCATTTACCATGGTTAACCCACCTAGCCTGCACATCCCCGGACACTATGGGGCAATTTCCCATGGTCAATCCAACTAGCCTGAACATCTTTGGACTGAGGGAGGAAAACAGAGCACATGGAGATAACGCACGCAGACAGCGGGAGAAGGTGCAAACTCCACACAGACAGTCACCCGAGGGTGGAATTGAACCCAGGTCCCTGGCGCTGTGAGGCAGCAGTGTTAAGCACTGAGCCACCTGTAAATAAACCGGATGTTTTCTGTCCCACATTAGACTCCTTTAAACATTCTTCAGCAGCGCAACAAGGCCATGAATGTTATAAAGGCAGCTGTCACACGCGAGGAATGGTCAACAAAACGTGAAGCAGGTACATGGGCAAGAAAGAGGAACCCACAAGGTTCACTCTCAGGAAACAAGTACTCTACAGCCCTGCCTCTATACCAGGCCTCCTTCATAACTTAGCACAACGTTGGTGAGTGAGGCATTATTCATCTCACGAAACTGTGCTATCTCTTCCATTCTCCTCTGAAGCCAGCCCCATGTGTAAAATGAAAATCCTCATACAAATCTAGTCAAGCAGCCAGGAACAAAACCTTAGCAACAGGAGGAGGCCTGTTGAGGGCCTGTTTCACCATCTTGTGGCTGACCTGCATCTCAACTGCATTTAGGTGCCGGTGGTGCCTATTCTTAAGGGCATTTCACAAACATCTATTAATCGCTTTGTCCTCCGAGATCCGGTTTTCTGGGGGACAGAAGTCCTAAGTTCACTCCTGAATGGCCTAGCTCCAATTTTAACTTTATTCCCTCTAGAATAAATAGTTTCTCCATTAGAATTCTCTGCCACAGAGAGAGCGTTGGAAGCTCAGACTATCAGTGTGTTAAGGTAGAAATGTATCGATTACTGATTATCAGTGACATATAGGATTATGGAGGTAGCATGGCATTGAATTATTCAATCAGCCATGATTGTATTAAGTAGCAAAGGGGCTTCGATGGGCTGAATGGCCTACCCCACTTTACAATGAACATATCTATCCCATCAAATCCTTTTAAATATTCTCTCCAGCTCTCTACTACAAACATTCACACCTCCTACTTTTCCATCTCTTCCCTCTCTGATGTACTCAGTACCTCTGAGGTGTAGCCAGGCTGTGTTTGAATGGAGTTGGAACACTTTAGCTTGTTTGTATGAATGTTTTTAATGTGTTTAATTTAGATAAATGTGAGGTGCTGCATTTTGGAAAGGAATATCAGGGCAGGACTTATACACTAAATGGTAAGGTCCTGGGGAGTGCTACTGAACAAAGAGACCTTGGAGTGCAGGTTCATAGTTCCTTGAAAATGGAGTCACAGGTAGACAGGGCGGTGAAGAAGGCATTTGGTACGCTTGCCTTTATTGGTCAGTGCATTGAGTATAGGAGTTGGGAGGTCATGTTGTGGCTGTACAGGACATTGGTTAGGTCACTTTTGGAAAACTGTGTGCATTTCTGGTCTCCCTGCTGTAGGAAGGATTTTGTCAAACTTGAAAGCGTTCAGAAAAAATTTACAAGCATGTAGCCAGGGTGGGAGGGTTTGAGCATTGGGAGAAGGTGAACAGGCTGGGGCTATTTTCCCTGGAGCGTCGGAGACTGAGGAGTGACCTTATAGAGGTTCATAAAATCATGAGGGGCATGGATAGGATAAATAGACAAGGTCTTTTCCCTGAGGTGGGGGAGTCCAAAACTAGAGGGCATAGGTTTAATGTGAGAAGGGAAAGATTTCAAAGAGACCTAAGGGGCTACATTTTCATGCAGATTTTGTTGCCTGTATGGAAATGAGCTGCCAGAGGAAGTGGTGGAGGCTGGTACAATTACAACATTTAAAAAGCATCTGGATGGGTATATGAATAGGAAGGGTTTAGAGGGACATGGACCAAATGCTGGCAAATGGGACTAGCTTTATTTAGGATATCTGGTGTGCATGGATGAGTTGGACTGAAGGGTCTGTTTCCGTGCTGTACATCTCTATGACTCCTTGACTCTAAATGTCTTTCTCCATTGAGTTAACAAAGGCGTTAGTCTAGTTAGTTTGTTGAGATTCGTAATGGCACTAACCCGGTCACCTGGTTCTCCTTGGCGGCCTGGTGGTCCTGAGAAACCTTCACCTGCGTTGCCCTGGAAACACAGAAAGAAAATTTCAGAGTCCATTTTCAGAAACACTTTTATCGTTTTGTAAGCGTCCTTGTTTCTGTAAGACAGCTGTGTAGATATTTCCAGCCATATCACTACGGTGCACCAACCTCATCCGTGTAATGTGTCTTTGGCTTTCACCAGCATCATGTCTCCCCAATCTTGTGAAGCAGATTCCAAAGTATTGGGCAGGTATGAAGACAAGTTGATGGGTTTTTACTTTTCCCTGGTGTTAGGGAAATAAAAAGGTGCTGGGAACAACCATTCTACGCTCTTAGCCTGTACTCTGCATAGATACAGCCAACAACACTATTGGTGGGTACTAATTCTGTCAATGCCAACATGGCAGATGGTGAAGTTCCAATTCAATAAAAGTCTGGAATTAAAAAAAGCTAGCCTAATGGTGACTGATGCCCTTTAGAGAAGAGCATCTAACATCTTTGCCTGGCCTGGTCTACGTGTAGCTCCAAACCATAGCAACACGGTTAACTCTTAGCCACCCTCTGGGTGATTAGTGATGCCAGATAATGCTTGCTTGGCCAATGATGTCCACATCCTATTAACAAATAAATGAAAAGCCTGGATTCTGAGACTATAGCTTGAGGCACTTTTTTGCATCAAACATAATTGATCAGAAAACTTGCCCGATCTCACCACCCCGCCAATGGCTTGTGGTGGAAAGATGTGAAGGTCTATCTGTTTGATCACACTAGATTGGCCATAAGATCTTGGGGTGAGACTCAAACCTGGAGCTTCTGGCCCTGAGGCAAGGATGTTACTTGCTACATCACAAGACCCTCCCTTCATGATCTGGCTGTTGGGGCGGCACGGTGGCTCAGTGGTCAGCACTGCTGCCTTACAGCACCAGGAACTCGGGCTCAGTTCCAGCCTCGGGTGACTGTCTGTCTGGCGTTTGCACATTCTCCCCATGTCTGCGTGGGTTTCCCTCCGGGTGCTCTGGTTTCCTCCCACAGTCCAAAGGTGTGCATAGCCAAGGTCAATGTGAGGTTACAGGAACTGGGGGAGGGGGAATGGGTCTGGGTGGGATGGTCTTCAGAGGGTTGGTACAAACTCGATGGGCTAAATGGTCAATTCTATGGTCCAGAATTTAATACTGGTTCTTGACCATCTCACCACTGATGCTGTGCCTGGTGCCCTTGGGACATATGAAAGTACTATCCCTGGTTTAGCATTCACTGTTATTGGCCTTTATATCAGGAATGAAAATAATTGTTTTTTACCTTTTCACCTTTCTGTCCTGTTGACCCAGGAGGTCCTCTTGGTCCTGGACTACCAGACTCACCAGGACTTCCCTTCAAAGGAAATACAATGTTAGTTCTAATTAATGTAATCGTGCAGTAATGGATGTTCCTTCCTGCAGCCAGACCTCCTCATGTTTCAGTACTTACTGGGTGGCCCGGCTCTCCTTTCTGACCTGCTCCATCTACCGAACTCTGTGGGAAAAGTCAAATGGTCAGTTGGTTGCTTGAGTCTGCACTTCCATGAAGTTCAATGCTTCCCGCTGCCCCTGCTCAATCTCTCTCTTGAGCTGCAAAGGTGGGAGAGTGAACTGCCCCTGATCCCCTCGCTCAGACCATTCACCCAGCTGGCGATCCACTGCACCCCCACCAGCCACGTCACCTCAAATATTATCCCTCAAACCTCATGTACAGGTGTAAAATCATGATGGTGAGTGGGTGGGAAACAGATCATGAGATTTTCAGTTTGAATGCCTCTCCCCTGAAACTTCACGAATAGGGGTCCAGGTTCTTGTCATTGCTATCTTCTCCCTCAGCTGGGAAGGGTTGTAACTTGAATAAGGGAAACATTTGAAACCAGAACTTTCAAACTTTTCTGCCAATGTCTACAATATCAAGTGCATTGCACAAACTGAACATGTTGTCACCTTCATGAATATGACGCAGGAACACAACCCTTTCCAACATGCACCAGAAGACTGGACAAAATAAAACAAAAACTCCATAAACAATTTACAAAGTGTGAGAATTTCAAATAAGAAAGAAAGCTCACTAGCAATATAAAAACAGATTGCAAGAGTTTCCATAAGTATTTAACAAGGAAAAGAGTAAGTAAGGTGAGCATTTAGAGAGTCAGTCTAGGAATTAATAATGAATTTTAAAAAAAAGCAGATGTGCAAATATTTTACATTGGTCTTCACTGCAGAGGACACAGATAATGCCCAAGAAATTAATGAATCAAAATTTGAAAGGGAGGGAGGAATTTAAAATAATTTCATTTAGCAGGGAATGGGTACTGACAACATCGCTCAAATCCCCAGGTCTTAATGAATTTCGTCAGAAGTCACACGACACTAGGTTATAGTCCAACAGGTTCATTTGAAATCATTAGCTTTCGGAGCGCTGCTCCTTCATCAGGTGAAGGTCAGGAGCAGCATTCCAAAAACTTGTGATTTCAAATAAACCTGTTGGACTATAACCTGGTGTTGTGTGAGTTCTGACTTTGTCCACCCCTGTCCAACACCGGCACCTTAATATCAACGATGAATTTCATCCAAGCATCTTAAAACAAGTGGCTTTTGAATCACCGACGCATTGTTTATAATTTTTGAAATTTCCCTAGATACTGGAAAGGTCCCATCAAATGGAATTCCTCTATTCAAGAAAGCAAAGAAGTGGAAAGCAGGTGAGTACAGGCCAGTCAGCTTAAAATCTGTTACAGTGAAGGTGTTGGAATCTATTCTGAAGAGGGTAAAGTAGGGTACTGAGTAAATCTCAATCAAATCAAGCTGAGGTGGGGAGCTGGGCCCTTCCTGAAGAGTGGATTTTATCAGGCACAGTGAAGAAGCAGCTCTGGGACCCAAATAGGAACACAACAGGTTACTGTAAACACAACGAATGGGCAGAAGGGGCAAACCCTAGCACAAGTCACATCCTTCGAGACAGAGAGGCAGAAATGGAAAGGAACAAAATAAAAAATAAAATCAGCCCACAGAAGTGAATCAATTTGAGACGATGATTGAAAGGAATATTCACTTACTCTCTCACCTGGTTCGCCCTTTTCCCCCTGCAAAAGAATGACAAACTCATTAAGAAGAACACTCAAATATTTTGCAATGCTATCGTACAGAATTGGACACTCTTCAAAATGTTCTGTTGGAGATTGCGTCAATGCAGTATGGAGCTGGAGGAACACAGCAGGTCAGGCAGCATCCGAGAAGCAGGAAAGCTGATGTTTCAGGTTTATACCCTTCACCAGTCCCGATGAAAGGTGTAAACCTGAAATGTCAATTTTCCTGCTCCTCTGATGCTGTCTGACCTGCTGTGTCCCTCGGCTCCGCACTGTATTGAAACTGACTCCAGCATCTGCAGTTCTTGCTCTATCTCCTGATGAAGACTGTAACACTCTTACTGATTTATATCAAGCAACAAATACAAAAAACAATCTTTGTGTGTTTGAGTTGATTATTCTGTAACATATCAAAGTAAATAGGATCTCACTGAAAAATGATACTATTGAGTACGACCAACGTTGATGTTAAAGATATGTTATTTGCTACCTGTTAGATGTTTTCCTAAGCAATTTGTTGCAAGATTTTGTTAGACATCTCTGGTATAGGTGAGACATGAACCTGGACCTCCTGGTCTTAAGGTAGGGAACATTGTCACTGCACCACAAGGATGCTGTTTGCTACCTCATAAAATGTTTTTTTTTAAACTTAGAATCCCTACAGTGTAGAAGCAGGCCATTCAGCCCATCGAGTCCTCCCAACCCTCCGAAGGACATCCCACCCCAGATCCATCCCGTTACTGCATTTCTCATGGCTAATCCACCTAGCCTGCACATCACTGGACACTATGGGCAATTTAGCATGGCCAATCCACCTAACCTGGACATCTTTGGACTGTGGGTAGAAACCAGAGCACCCGGAGGAAACCCACGCAGACATGGGGAGAATATGCAAACTCCACACAGACAGTCGCTCGAGGGTGGAATCGAGTCCAGGTCCCTGGTGCTGTGAGGCAGCAGTGATCACCACTGAGCCACTGTTTCATCCATCTGGAATTTGGTTCCTTTTTGGAGCCCTAATTTAAATTGTTATTCAAAAATAGTATAAACAGAGACTTCCGGGCATGACAGGGGCTGAAGTATATTACCACTCCCAGAAAATCACATTTTAATCTGAATTAGAAAGTTACTTTTGGGTTGCTATCTTGAGTTGCATTGCTCCTTTGTGGAGTTGTCAGGTTTTCTTGGTTTCATTTAGCTGAATTTGTTTCATGTTAGATTTAAAATTGTATAAAGGGAGAGTGGATGTTGTGCATAATCAACTTCCACAACAACATTTTAATTAAAATTTGAAAGTTTCTTTTATTCATTGACTCTATGTGGGTATCACTGGCCAGGCCAGCATTTATTACCCATCCCTACTCACCCAGAGGGTAGTCAGAGTCAGCCACATTGCTATGGGTCTGGAGTCACATGAAGGCCAGACCAGGTAAAGATGGCAGTTTCCTTCCCTAAAGGGCATTAGGGAACCAGATGGGATTTTCCTAACAATCAACAATGGTCATCATTTGACTCTAAACTTGAGATTTTGTTGAATTCAAATTTCACCATCTACTCTGGCAAGATTTGAACCAAGGTCCCCAGAATATTATCTGCATCTCTGACTTAACAGGCCAGCGATAATACCACTAAGCCATCACCCTCTTTGCTTATCACAATGCCCCTTTAAGGGGTTGTCATCTCTTTATTTAGAGATAGCAAGAACTGCCGATGCTGGAGTCAGAGACAACACAGTGTGGAGCTAGATGAACACAGCAGGCCAGGCAGCATCAGAGGAACAGGAAATCTGACGTTTCGGGTCTGAAGAAGGTTCCCGACCCAAAATGTCAGCTTTCCTGCTCCTCTGATGCTGCCCGGCCTGCTGTGTTCATCCAGCTCATCTCTTTATTTAGTTGGATTTGGTTTAATTATGATATTATAAAGAGAGACGGGCTGTTAATTCGATTCAATTAGGTCGATATGGTTTAATTTGAAAGAGTATAAACAGCAGCTAAGCGCTTTTGTGATACAGTGGTAGGGTCTCTACCTCTGGGCCTGGAGGCAAGGGTTCAAATCCCACATGCTCCAGAAGTCTGTTGTTTGGAACAGGTTGATTAGAAAATTACCTGCAACAATAGACCAAGGGCTCTTGTGGTACAGTAGAAGTGCCCCTATTTCTGTGTTAGAAGACCCAGGTTCAAGTTCCATCTAATTTGAAGGTATGTTGAAGCATTTCCAAACAGATTGATTAGGGAAATAATCATAAGGAGGAACTGTAGGATGTGCAGGGTGGTAAGTTGGAAGCGGATATATTCTGTGAATATCCTTTATTAAGAAGATTCCCTGGAGGCTGAAGGGTGGCTGTATAAGGGTGAATAGGCAAAGTCTTTTCCTTGGGGTAGGGGTGTCCAAAGCTAGAGGGCATAGGTTTAAGGTGAGAGGAGAAAGATTTAAAAGGGACCTAACGGGCAACATTTTCACACAGAGGTTGGTGAGCGTATGGAACAAGCTGCCAGAGGAAGTGGTGGAGGCTGGTACAATTACAACATTTAAAAGGCATCTGGATGGTATATGAGTAGGAAGGGTTTAGAGGGATATGGGCCAAATGCTGGAAAATGGGACTGGATAAATTTGGGATATCTGGTAGGCATTGACAAGTTGGGCTGTTTCTGTGCTGTACAGCTTGGTGACTCTAAGAGCATTCATCTCTCATTTAGTAGTTGAGCAAATGGCTTGGCATTATTATAAGAGCTGAGATTGGTCCAGGCTGATTTACCCTTATTCTGGCCTGCAGTAATACTAGATTTTCTTCTTTGTTGTAAAGTGGTTTTAAGCGTGTGAAATAGCAACTGTCATATCAGGATAACTTGGCAGTATAAGACCATAAGACCATAAGACATAGGAGCAGAAATCAGGCCATTCAACCCATTGAGTCTTCTCCGCCATTCAATCATGGTTGATAAGTTTCTCAACCCCCTTCTCCCGCTTTCTCCCTGTAACCCTTGATCCTCTTGATAATCAAGAACCTATCTATCTCTGTCTTAAATGTACTCAATGACCTGGCCTCCACAGCCTTCTGTGGCAGTGAATTCCATAGATTCACCACTCTCTGGCTGAAGAAATTTCTCCTTAGCTCCGTTCTAAAACATCTTCCCTTTACTCTAAGGCTGTGCCCTCGGGTCCTAGTCTCTCCAACCAATGGAAACATCTTCCCAACATCCACTCTATCCAGGCCATTCAGTATTCTGTAAGTTTCAATTAGATCCCCCCTCATCCTTCTAAACTCCATCGATTATAGACCCAGAGACCTCAAACGTTCCTCATATGTTACGATTTCCATTCCTGGGACCATTCTCGTGAACCTCCTCTGAACCCACTCCAGGGCCAGTACATCTTTCCTAAGATATGGGGCCCAAAACTGCACACAATACTCCAAATGTGGTCTGACCAGAGCCTTATAGAGCCTCAAAAGTACATCCCTGCTTTTATATTCAAGCCCCCTCAAAATAAATGCCAACATTGCATTTGTCTTCTTAACTACCAACTCAACCTGCAAGTTTATAAAACCAAAAACGTAATTTGGCCTATCATGCCCAGATGCCCAATCTGCCATAGATTCAGATTGTGGCTAATCCATACCTTAACTCCATCCGGCTGTCTTTTTTCCATCTCTCTTGATACCTATTTACCCATCAGAAATATCCCAGTCTTTAAATCTTCAACTGACAACCCCTTCAACCTGTGCCATTTGGGGCAGAGAATTTGAGATTTTTAATGTTGAAAAGGTGGTTCCCCACTGCTTTCCTGAATGGACAAGCTCCAAAGTTACCACTGCGCGCCCTCATTCTTGATTCCTCCATGGTTTCTCTATATTTACCCTCCGAACCTCCTTCACCTCTCAACAAGATCATCCCGCTATCTTCTAAAACAAAAGCATTGCTATCAGTTAATGAAGAACTTGTTAGAAATCACATTTTTGTGTCCACATCAGAAGGCAGATGGGCTCTTTATTTTAAGGTCTCATATGAAAGGCAGTGTCAGCAGCAGTGGAGGAGTCTCTCTCCATCAGTATCGCTTTGGGACTGAGAGCTGAATGCTTGTGCTCTGATCTCAGGTAAGACTGATGTATGAAGAGAGACTGGATTGGTTAGGGTTATATTCACTGGAGTTTAGAAGAATGAGGTGGGCAGGAATCTCATAGAGACCTATAAAATTCTGACAGAATGAGACAGAGGTAATGCAGGAGGATGTCCCTAGATAGACCAGAATCACAGGTCACAGTCTAAGAATTTGGGGTTGGCCAATTAGGATTGAAATGGGGAGTGGTGAACCTGTGGAATTCTCTGCTACAGAAAGCAGTTGAGGGCAAAACATTGAATGTTTTCAAGATGAAGTCAGATATCAATGGGTATGGGGCAAAAGTGGGAACAGGGTACTGAATAGGATGATCAGGCATGATCATATTGAACAGCAGAGCAGGCTTGAAGGGCTGAATGGCCTACTCCTACTGCTATTTCTATGTTTCTGGGGACATTCTGAGTCAGAGCTCTACCCAGAGCTGACACCGAATTGAGAAAACCTCAAAGAGTATTCTTATAACATCTTGCATCCAAGAGAGCTGGTTATAACTCAGCAATGAGTATCAAGCAACAATCCAGCAAGTAAAGGGGATTAAGTGGGCATTTCATATTTGATGCTGAGTTTAACTCTTCTCGTGAAGATTCTCCTTGCTAAATTGACAACATACCTTGATAGACCTCCCAGGAGGTCCTGGTGGGCCGATCGGACCTTGTGGCCCGACTTGACCAGGGGACCCATTGTCACCTCTTTGTCCAGGAAACCCAGGTGGACCACGAGCGCCCTACAATAGAGAATCAAAAGAGGTGCTGAAATACCAACTGGCTCTCATTGCAGTTCGAAGATTGTTCAACAACACGCAGTTTGGCTAGCAACAACAATTTTCATTTGTATAGCCCCTCTAGCATAGTTAAAAATGTCCCAAGGGTGTTCACTGGACCAATAGCAAACAAAATTGATGTCAGGCGACATTTGGACAGATGACAGAAAGCCTGTTCAAAGACGTGTTTCTAAAGAGGAGAGAGAAATGGAGAGGTTTTTGGTTGGAATTCCAGAACCTGGGGACCAGGCAGATAAAGGTACCAATAGTGGGACATTTAAATCCGGGGATGCTGAATGGGTTGGAATTGCGGGGAGGGGAAGGACCTAAGTGGAATGAAGGGCTGGAAGAGGTTGCTGAAAGGGGTTTTAGATTGATAGTAGTTGCGGAGATCGGAAGGGAAGATTCTCTGCAGCCCAAATAGGATGTCAGTGATGCAAACATATTAAGAATTCACAAGGAATTGAAGAGAATATTGCATTTGTTTCCTCAATAGAAACAACTGACTGCAAACACTGCACACTTCAGTCAGGCAATAGAAAGGTCAGCTATCTCAGGCCTGGGGTACTCCAAACGTCACAAAGCACTGGAACAAAGTGTCACAACTTATTTCAATAGTGATTGGATCTGATGCAAATAGAAAACATGGGTGGTTGTATTATTTTCATTCAAGAGGACTGCAGTAAAATTCTCCTTCCAGCTCTGTGCCCAACACCCCAGTGCAAGTCATTGATTTCTTGATGAGTAAGTGGATCAAGGATTATGGGGAGAAGGCAGGACAATGGGGTTCAGAAACATATTAGCCATCATCAAATGGCAGAGCAGACTTGATGGGCTAAAAGAGAGGGTCCAGAGTGGCCTATTAGTGATCTTTAAGATTATGGAAGGGTTTGCTGAGGTAGATATCAAGATCCTTAGAAGGGAGGCTGTGGTAATGTTACTGGTTAATAATCCAGAACCCCAGGCTACTGCTCTGGGGGGCATGGGTTTGAATCCCAATAGGGCAGATGATGAAGTCTGAATTCGATTGGGGGTTGGGGGTTAAGAAAGGTGATGGTGACCACTGTCGATCATAAAATAAAACATTTGGTTCACTAATGTCCTTTAGGGAAATCAAGCAGCCATATTTACCCAGTCTGTCCTACATGTGACTCCAGAACAACATCAATGTGGTTGACTCTTCACTGTCCTCTGGGCAATTAGGGATAGGCAATAAATACTGGCCTAACACATCCCATGAATGTATAGAAAGATCAAACTGAGGGGCCGTGATTATAAGATAGTTGCCAATAAATCCACTAGGGAATTCAAGAGAAACTTCCTTCCATAAAGTGAGGAACTTCCCAGTACAAAGAGTGGCTGAGATGAAGAGTGTAGATACATTGAAGGGGAAGCTGGATAAATACATGAGTATAAACAAATATAAGGACATATTGAAAGGTTTTGGTGATTTCAGGTGGGAGGAGAGGACCATTAACACCAAAACAAATACACCAACATGGTATCACAGGTTCTTGGTAAAGAGTGAAAGTGTGCCACGTACTGGATTACCCGGCTCGCCCTTCCTGCCAGGATAGCCTCCGCCAGTTGTAATGTGTGTGCCGGGTTCACCCTGAAAGAGGAACAAATGCACAAACATAAACAAAAGAAAGAAAGAATGTGCACTAATATATAGCTTCCCACATCCCCAAAATGACCTCATGCCCAATAAATCACCAGAACACCACGTCCTCTCGGAATGGTTCCTTTTTTCCACAGAGATCCAGCATGAGATTCAATGGGCCAAACAGCCCACCTTCTGTTGCTATAATTACTTCTTTTAAAAATGACAGTGTAAAGCTCTATACAGGCTGCATTTGGAGCACTGCATTCAGTTCTGAACGCAACAGAAAGGACATACCAAACTTGGAGGGGGTGCCATGCAAATTCACTGGCATATTAGGATTAGAGAGGTAAACTATAAGTGAGAAGTTCTCAGTCCTAAATGACCTACCCTGTGTTCTTGGACTGTGGTAATTGGTTCTGGATTCCCCTGTCATCAGGAACATCCTTCCTGCCTGTACTCTGTCAGAATTTTATAGGCTTCTCTGAGATACTCCACATTTTTCTAAACTCCAGTGAACATAGTCCTAACCAATCCAGTCTCTCTTCGTACATCCGTGCTGCCATCTCAGGAGAGCGAACACCACCATTCAGTCTTCAAAGTTGACCCTGAGTTTCCAACATTTGCATTTTTTCCCACTCCCAGTTTAGCCTCCACCTTCACCTCCCCAAATTATTTCTTTGAAGATCAGTGATGAGCAGATCATCTTCCGGTTGGACACATGACATTGAATAATTTCAGATCCTGATCGTTTATTCCATTTTCAGCTTTGAACAGCCTGAACTGATAATGTTTCTGCTACTGACTCTTCATTAAGTCACCCCTGCTCTCCCATTCTATTACAGACCGTCCCTTCTGTTTCCCACCCACCCCACCGCACCCTCACCCCTCTTCCTTCCTCTATATTTGTTTGTATCTCTAGTTAATCCGAGTTCCGACAAAAGCTGCATTTTACACTCCCCTGCCAGTGGGTTTGAAAGATTGTGTGTGTGTGTGTGTGTGTGTGTGTGTGGGGGGGGGGGAGGCGGAAGGGGCGGGCTGTAATAGAATGGTGGTCGCCGTCGCATTA